AGCACAGTTGCAGGATGTAAAATCAACGTACAGAAATCTGTTGCATTTCTATACACAAATAAGGAAGAAGCAGAAAGAGAAATCAAGGAATTGATCCCATTTACAATTGCACCAGAAACTATAACATACCTAGGAGTAAACCTAACCAAAGAGGTAAAAGATCTGTACTCTAAAAATTATAGAACACTTATGAAAGAAATTGAAGAAGACACAAAGAAATGGAAAAATATCCCATGCTCATGGATTGGAAGAACCAACATTGTTAAAATGTCTATACTACCCAAAGAAATCTATCCATTTAATGCAATCCCTATTAAAATAACACCAGCATTTTTCACAGAGCTAGAAGAAACAATCCTAAAATTTGTAAGGAACCAGAAAAGACTCCAAATAGCCAAAGTAATATTGAAAAAGAAAAAGGAAAGCTGGTGGCATCACAATCCAGACTTCAAGCTGTATTACAAAGCTGTAATCATCAAGACAGTATAGGCACCAAAACAGACAAATAAACCAATGGAACAGAATAGAGAACCCAGAAATGGACCCACAAATATATGGTCAACTAATCTTTGACAAAGCAGAAAGAATATCCAATGGAAAAAAGTCTCTTCAACAAATGGTGTTGGGAAAACTGGACAACAACACACAGAAGAATGAAACTGGACCACTTTCTTACACCATACATAAAGAGAAATTCAAAATGGATGAAACATCTAAATGTGAGACAGGAAACCATCAAAATCCTAGAGGAGAACACAGGCAGTAACCTCTTTGACCTTGGCTATAGCAACTTCTTATTAGACACATCTCTGGAGGCAAGGGAAACAAAAGTAAAAATGAACTTGAGACTTCAGCAAGATAAAAAGCTTCTGCACAGCAAGGGAAACAATCAACAAAACTAAAAGGCAGCCTACAGAATGGGAGAAGATATTTGCAAATGACATATCAAATAAAGGGCTAGTATCAAAAATCTATAAAGAACTTATCAAACTCAAGACTCAAAAAATAAATAATCCTGCAAAAAAAATAACAATCCAGTTAAGAAATGGGCAGAAGACATGAACAGACATTTCTCTGAAAAAGACATACAAATAGCTAACAGACACACGGAAAGATGTTCAACATCACTCGGCATCAGGGAAATACAAATCAAAACCACAATGAGATACCACCTCACACCTGTCAAAATGGCTATAATTAACAACTCAGGAAACAACAGATGTCCGTGAGGATGAGGAGAAAGGGGAACGCTCTTACACTGTTGGTGGGAATGCAAACTTCCCAGGCACTCTGGAAAACAGTTGGAGGTTCCTCAAAAAGTTAAAAATAGAACTACGCTACAACCCAGCAATTGCACTACTAGATATTTATCCAAAAAATACAAAAATAGTGATTTGAAGGGGCACATGCAATCCCCCACCCCCAATGTTTATAGCAACATTATCAACAATAGCCATACTATGGAGAGAGACCAAATGTCCATTGAATAATGAATCAACGAAAGAAGATGTATGTGTGTGTATATATGTATATACATATATATGTATATGTATATGTATGTGTGTATATAGGTATATACATATATATGAATATATGTATGTATGTGTATATATGTATATACACATACATATATATATGAATATTACTCAGCCATCAGAAGGAATGAAATCTTATTTGCAATGATCGGTTGGAGCTAGAGTGTATTATGCTAAGTGAAATAAGTCAGTCAGAGAAAGGTAAATACTATATGATCTCATTCATATGTGGAATTTAAGAAAGAAAACAGATGAATATATGGGAAGGGGGAAAAGAAAAAGAGGAGAGAGGGAAACAAACCATAAGAGACTCTTAACTATAGAGAAAAAAAAAGTGAGGCTTGCTAGAGGGGAGGTGGGTGGAGGATGGGCTAAATGGGTGATGGGTATTAAGGAGGGCACTTGTTGTGATGAGCACCGGGTGTTACATGTAAGTGATTAATCACTAAATTCTACTCCTGAAACCAATATTACACTAGATGTTAACTAACTTGAATTTAAATAAAAACTTGGAAGAAAAAAAAGAATTCAATGCTCATAAATTCAACAACTTACATAAGATGGACACATTCCTTAAATGATACAAACTGCCAGAGGTCACTCAAGAAAAAGAAATAACCTGAATAGATCTATAGATCTTTATAGCTATCTCTCCATATATAGCATACATGTGTATCTTTTAAACAACCTGCGCTTTGCTCCAGAGGAAAATACTTTTTTTTCTTTTCCATAACTATTTATTATAAAAGCATTCTTGATGAATAGTATGGAACAAAGACAGTCAATTTCTCTACTTCTAAGATGTGCAGGGTACAAGGGGCCCATGGAGAATTTTCTCCTAATAGGATGGAGATGATCCAAAGATGGTTGAAGTTTTTTAGACTCTGGTTCTCCTTATATCTTTGGTGTAGTTCTCCAGAAGTTCCAAATGAGAAACTGAGGGCCTGGGAATTTTCTAAGTCCCCTCTTTGTTGGATGGTCTTGAACAACAGTTTCTGTAGTTTCTGTCTCTTCAGCAGTGGAGCCTGCAGAGAAAAATGCATTCTACCTTTCAGTTGTTTTCTATTTATCTTTTAATTCCTTTCCTTATGTATCTTAATGAAATACATCAAAGTGAAAACCTGAAGCATCTGGCAGAATTTTCTGGGCCTCCCTTCTCTTAAGTTCTTAAGTCCTAGATACCTTAGCAACTCCAATTATTTTTGTGTGTCTTCTGTCCTATGAGATTTTCCAAAGCTCTATTGGCTTTTCTTTCTTTCTTTTTTTTTTTTTTTAAAGATTTTATTTATTTATTTGAGAGAGAATG